AAAATATGGCCTTTGGTGCCTGAGAAGGTGGGGAGACAGAGGGAATGACACAGATCTCAGTCTGATCGTGTTGTTAGTAACACTGTCACCCAGTAAAAGGAATCTTAATCTGCATACATTGGCAGGTGATTTAAAAAAACAAACAAACTTTTGTTACTGTCATGTGTGTGTCATAATCTCAGAGGAGGCATCCTTTCCAAGATGAGAAAGGAAGCTGCATCTTCCTTGAAAACCGCCTGCCACCTGTGCTTTTTATAAAAATTAATATTTTTTTAAAAATATGTTGCATAGTATGTGAAAAAGCAAAAATGTTTTGGGCTGAGATACATGCAGAAATGAAAAAAATTGTGAAATGTAAGTTCAAGAAAGAACCGGAAATATTACTTTTGGGACTTAAAATGGAAGAAGTCAATATGGCAAAAAGAATATTGATGTGGTATATGATCACGACTGCTAGAATGACATATGCTCAATGTTGGAAACAAGATAAGGTCCCTGAAGTTGCGGAGTGGATTAAAAAATTACTTTTTATGGTTGAAATGGACAAAATGACAAGGAAACTTAACAATTTGGAAGCGGAAGAATTTTTTGCAGACTGGAAAGACTTTAAAGATTATTTGGAGAAATACTGGGATGTAAAGGACAATTTACTTTGCTTTGAGAACTATTGAAAACTAAAAGATAGTAGAAAATAGATAAATGTATAAGAATAATTGTTGAAAGATACGTTACCTGCGGTTGTGAATGAGGAGAAAGGGAGGTATGGGAAAATTTAAGAATTGAGCTGGAGGTTGGAGCACTGTGGGAAGCCGGAAAGGGGGGGAAAGGGAGGAGGGAAGGATATATAATTATAAAAGTTTTGATGTATGTTTGAATTTTTTAAAAATTATATCCTAATAAATTGTTTTTGAAAAAAAAATATGTTGCATAGTTAATTAGGGGCATCTTTGTAGTTCATCAGATGACTTTCGCTTAGCTAATCAAGCATCCCTTAATAGCTTCGATAATTTTAAAAAATACTTTCAGTCTAGGAGAGAAGCTAGATCTTGCAGTGTTCCCATTTTATGGAATGGGGGGAGAGATAGAAAAAAGTATGAAGAGACACCTTTCTAGTAAATCTGTACCCATTTTGAATGTACAGTGAGCAGCTTTATAAATTGTGATGAGTGCAGGTTACGATATCTGTGTGTATGTATGTAATAAATAGAAGCAAATTCCAAATTTTACTTCTCTTTTTAATTAACCTATTAAGAATGTGGGCAGCTTATTCACAGAACATCAGACTCCCTAACATGCTGTGTGGCACTTTGCAGGTCCAGCGACTTCCTTTCCTTCATAGCTCTAACCTGTCATTGGAGATCTTGAAAGGCAGCTATGACTGCATTGGTTTTGAGGATATTCTGAATGGTAAGAATCTCTTTTCAAAATTTGGGGAGATGTCAGATATGTTGAAACGCATTCATTTGCAGTCTGTATTTCTGAGATTTTTAAGGAAGGCAGAATTGTAGATAGCTCAAGACTTCCCTAAATGGCCAAAGACTCAAAACCTGTTTACAGATAGCATTGCAGTGGAGCCTCTTGCTTGCTGTGCAGTTCCATGTGAACGATTGCCACGTTGTGCATGGGCTCAGTCAGAATTGCAGAATTTGCACCTAGGAGAGGATCTACATTCTGTATTGAAATCTGCTATCAATTTGATTTTTTTAAAAACAATGTTGAAATCTGCTATCAATTTGATAATGGCATTTAAATATTGTCTGCTGTAGGGGGAAAACAGATTAATCTCCAGTAGGGGGTCTGAGCTGACAGTGCTTTCATCAGAGGGAGGTGGGGAATTTGAAGTGCAACAAATACAAATCCTGCACTTCATCTCTTGCATCAGTGGAAACTTTGCCAGTGGTAGAGTAAAGAGGGGCTACATCACCCAGCTTTCCCTCTTCATGCCTCACAGGACTCCCAAGATTGAGCATCAACTTTTCAGAGGTCTCTGAGCACCCTCCTTCATGGGGGGTGGTCTGCAAATGCATCGTAATCAGGTTTCATAGAATCTGAGCCATATTTATAATTATTTTGTTAAATACTTTCCCCCCTAACATGAACTGAATTAATACCGAAAGAAGCCGAAATAAATAAATAATACAATATTGTTTTCCAGATCCAGCACAAAGTGAAGTAATGGGAGATTCTCATATGATGATGGAGCACAAACTTGGTTTATTATAACATCCACATACTCCAGACATACTGTACATGGATATGTTTCTTGCCTGTGTCCCTGCAGATTAAGTAAACCATATTAAATGGCTGCCATACCATATTTTGTTCATATACATAATCTCTTACCTACCTTGATGAAAAGGCACATTAAATGCTTGAAGTATGTTGACTTTTGTTCTGTGTTTACTGTCAATATAAATGTAATTATTTTAAAATATCACAGGAAATCAGTATCTCTATTCAGGGCTATAGTTACTTCACGTCCACATTGTAGAAACCTGCAGACTAAAAAGTATAGAAACAGGACATTTTTAAAAATGATTTTAAAAATACTAGATTGGATGTTCTTTTGCAACTTATAACCCGGGTATTTGCTGTTGAATCTTTCTCTGTTCTTGATGACTTGACATCTTTTAAACGGTGAATAAAATTTTCTATAAATTTTGTGACTTTTCAAAATATTTAATATTTCTGAAGTTACCTCAAGCAGTGTATGTTTCAATTACTATTAGACCTGTTTATTAACAGCTCCATTTTATGGTCCTGCTACAGTGTATACCATTAGCCCAGAGTATATTGACATAACATTTTGGGATCCTGTATACCTACAGCAGCTAAGATATAAACACAAGTGCAGTACTCAAAGAGCTAACTTAGTAACAATGGGGCAGGAGATAATGGTCACTCTTACAGATGCCCTGGAAAATAAGAATATACTCGGCATTGACAACTTGCTTAAATGCTCATCAGCTGTGTGTGGATTGCACCAGTCATGCATAGCACTGTCATAAAGCACTGAGACACTTCTGTTCAAGGAATAGGCCACAGTGCCTCTCTTTGTTTTGGCTGCTATAGCTTAATGTTTAGGAAGCTAGCTAGTAGATCCAAACAGCATTTGTTTCAGTCTGTTCAGTGCACCACCCACATAAGAACATAAGAGACGCCAATGTTGGATCAGGCCAAAGGCCCATCCAGACCAACACTCTGTCACACATTGGCCAAAAATACCAGGTGCCATCAGGAGGTCAGCAATGCCAAAGCAGCAGGCATTTACAAAACAGAAACCATTGTTTAGCATGGGGTCATCGGAGGAAAAAGAACTAGAACCATATATACAAAGAAAGAATGGGCACTTTCTGTCCTCATGCTGTGTATTTTGGGGGAAGATGGGGATGTGGGATTCAGCCCTGCACTTGTAAAAGATAACCCCCCCTTCCAGTTAAAGCCATGGTGGTTATTTCCTATTTAAATTATAAAGCATTTTTAGGGGCTTCATCAATTGAGTAGATGACACGAAAGCATAGGAGAAGAGCCAGTTTGGTGGTTAAGCGGTGGACTCTAATCTGGAGAACTGGGTTTATTCCCACTCCACATGCAGCTGGGTGACCTTGGGTCAGTCACAGTTCTCTCAGAGCTGTTCTCTCAGCCCCACCTACTTCACAGGATGTCTGTTGTGGCAAGAGGACGGGAAGGAGATTGTAAGCCACGCCGAGACTCCAAGTGAAGGGCAGGGAATAAATCCAAACCTCCTCCTCCTCCTCCTAGTGGGGGCTGGGGCTGTGGTAGAGCATCTGCTTGGTATGCAGAAGGTCCCAGGTGCAACCCTTGGCATCTCCAGCTAACAGCGACCAGGTCATAGGTGATGAGAGAGACTGCTAGCTGAGACCTTGGAGAGCCACTGAGCAGACCATACTGACGAAGGGTCTAGCTCAGTATAAGGCAGCTTCATGTGTAGTATTGGACCTAGACTTCTTCAGTTCATGACTACGTACAGTAGCAGTGCTTGAACTTGGTAGTGTTGGAAGCACAGGCGCTCTGTATGAGTCTCGGTTGGGAAGCAGTTGTAGAGAGCCATCTATCCATGGACCAGCCGAGGCTTATAAACGGTCAGTGACTGATCTTGATCAAGTAGTCTGATTCATTCATTCATGTGCCAGGACATTTTTCATTCTGTCTGGCTCCTTTGTCCAGCTACGTCCGCCCACCTGTAGTCATTGGTATCTGCATCATTTGCCTTTAATTTGGGGTGTGTGCATGCACAAGGGGTCCCTTTGTATAGCATGTCTGTTTTCCAGTAGGAGCAGTGAGGTAATCATGTGCTGTATGCTAAGTGTTACCACTGTCTTGCTAGTAGATCTGAGTGCCTATTTAAGAATAACGACGGCTTTGTACTTTCTTAGCATTTATTTAAAACATTTCTTAGCTGCCTTTCTACCTTGCAGAACTCATGGTTGCTTACAATGTAAATAGAACAATTATTTTTAAAAATACATAATACACAGCCCTAAAAAACATCTTCAACTGTCTCCTAAAGGTCAACTGAGGGGACCAGCTGTACCTTCCTGGGGAGGATGTTCTGTAATCATGGGGCTGCTGTCAAAAAGGCCCTGTCTTGTTTACCCAGCATACAAATTTCTTTGGTCAATGGGACAGTCAGGACTAGGTCCACTTCTCATTATCTTAATTCCCAGGCAGAAATGTATGCAAGGCAATATTCTTTCATATATCTTGGTCCCAAGCCACATGGGGCTTTAAAGGACAAAGTCAATACCTTGAATTGGGCTTGGGGGTGAGTTGGTTGTGTGATTGCTGTAGTATTAGGGTTGCATGCTCCCAAAAGTTGGCCCCAAACAGCAGTCTAGCCACAGCATTGTACACTAACTTCAGTTTCTGCTCACTCATCAAGGGTAGCCACAAGTAGAGCACATTGCAATAGTCCATTCTAGATGTAAGTACAGCATAGATCACTGGCTAGATCTGACTGAACCAGTAATGGGTGCAGCTGATTCACCAGCCACAGTTGGGCAAAAGCAGGCTGAACCACAGCAGCTGCCTGGTTTCCGAAGTACTACTCATGTAGAGAGAGGTTCATGAATTACAGTTGCATATAAAAGGGGCTGCGGTGGCTCAGAGGTTAAGACGCTGAGCCACAGACCAGAAGGTCAGTAGCTCGGCAGTTCGAGACCCTAGTGCTGCATGACAGCTACCGTCTCTGGCCCCAGCTCCTGCCAACCTAGTAGTTCGAAAGCAAGAAATTGCAAGTAGATAAATGGTTACCACTTAGGTGGGAAGGTAGCAGCATTCTATGCACCTCGGCATTTAGTCATGCTGGCCACATGACCATGGAAAAGTCTTCGGACAGCACTGGCTCTTTGGCTTGGAAACGGAGATGAGCACTGCCCCCTAGAGTTGGATTCGACTTATGCAAACGCTTACTAAGTCTATTACCCAGATTTGATGCTGTGGAAGCCTTGCCATGGTTTAATTCTTCCCTTGCATCTGGAGATTATCCTTATCCAGTTGTACCAATCTCATGGGTGCTAAGCCTGCAACAACTCACTTTGCCTAAGTTCACAGAGTCAGCATTGCTGTTAGATGGCCATCTAGCCTGTTTGAAAACCTCACAAGGAGGAGAGCCCACCACCTCCTGAGGAAGCCCATTCCACTGAGGAACCACTCTGTCAGGAAGTTCTTCCTAATGTTTAGCCAAAAACGTCTGATTTAATTTCAACCCGTTGGTTCTGGTCCAACCTTCTGGGGCAACAGGAAACAACTCTGCGCCATTCTCTATATGACAACCCTTCAAGTACTTGAAGATGGTTATCATATCACCCCCTCAGTCGTCTCCTCTCCAGGCTAAACATACCCAGCTCCTTCAACCTTTCCTCATGGACTTGGTCTCCAGATCCCTCACCATCTTCATTGCCCTCCTCTGGACACATTCCAGCTTGTCTATATCCTTCTTAAATTGTGGTGCCCAAAACTGAACACAATACTCTAGGTGAAGTCTAACCAGGGCACAGTAAAGTGATACCATCACTTCACATTATCTGTACTTCTGTTGAACTGTACTTCTGTTGATACAGCCCAAAATGGCATTTGCCTTTATAGCGACTGCATCTAGTATTATCTGTACATTTAATAAGCATTCCCTCTATTTCTGCATCAAAATAGTTGATAAAAATGTTGAACAAAACAGGTCCCAGGACAGATCCTTGAGGCACACTTGTCTCTCCTCTCCAAGAGGATGAGGAACCATTCACAAGCACTCTTTGGGTGCGAACTGTCAACCAGTTATAGATTCACCTAACAGTCATAGGATCCAAACCACATTTTACCAATTTGTCAACAAGAATATTATGTGGAACCTCATCAAAAGCCTTACTGAAATCAAGATAAACTATGTCGACAGTATTCCCCTGATCCAGCAAGGTAGTAACCATGTGACTCAGCTAAGGGCCAGGAAGAAGGAGCAACACAAACTTCCCTGAGGAAGGAGTTCCATAACTTTGAACTACACCTGAGTAAGTCCTCAGTAAGTTCCTACTGCACTGTATGCAATAAGGTTCATCTGGGAGATGCTTGTTGTATCCTCGCTCCAGATCATTTAAGACTTTAAAGGTTTTCAAATGTGGGCTGGAAACCAACTAGAAGCGAGTGATGGTACTGCAAAACTGCCATCATATAATTTGGCAGTTGCATTTTGAACCAGATGTACCTTCTAAAGAAAGCATGTTGCAGTAATTTGATCCACATGGTGCCAGGACATGATTTACCAAACTTTTTTTTTTCCATCTAGGGAAGGACATCACTCTAGAACCAGTTTAAGCTGGTGAAAAAATCTAAATGCATGCTTAAACTGTGAACCTGAGTCTTGTCGTATTGTTTGGGTTCCCAAGTCTTGACATCTAGGCCCACGTCTGCTTATGTTCAAGCATACCATGGGACCATTCTTAAGAAAGAGGGCAACCTCATTCAACATCAGTTGGACTCCTACTGCCAGATTAGATGTATTTTCAAATCTCAACTTTATTCACGTTACTGCTAATTTTAAGTATCAGATCAGGATCTTAACTGCTACCCCCAAAGTTGATCGGAGTAGGTATCATCTGCATATTGATAATACTGTAGCTCAAATATCCAGATTATTTTGCCCAGTGATTTGCCCATGACTGATGGTAGCCATCAACCCCAATTGTTTATCTATGAACCCTCATAAATTCCCAGTGTTTGCTTTTCATGGATCACAGGAGGTTTGCCAGGAGGGGAAGACAGAAAAGATGCACTTCTGTGCATGCTCTTACTCATAGAATCCAACCCTATATATTTCAGTTGACTTTACAGATTACCTATTCTGGGATAAACTATTTGTACTCATAGAATCCAACCCTATATATTTCAGTTGACTTTACAGATTACCTGTTCTGGGATAAACTATTTGTACATTTCCCCAACAACCGTGAATAAACTTTTTTTTAGAACAGAAACCAAAGTAATCTTATAAACCTGTTTTATTTCCCAATTTTTAATCCATACAAAAAAACACACTCAAAATTGCTACACATCTGTACAAGATCGCGAATACATATGGAAATTTAGTTTTATGGCTCTTATAAGCAGCCAGTTTTTGAACATGCCAATTTCCACTTTGATTATTTAAAAAATAGCTTCCCTTTCCCCAGAAACAGTAATTCAAATGGTGCAGGGAAAAGTAGGATTCCCTCTTAGAATTCTCATCAAACTACAGTTCCCAAGATTTTTTGGGAAAAGAAAGAGTTAAAAGTGCATATAAAACCTACCAGCTTTCCCCCAGGTGATTGAGGGGCCTCTTTTGACCAACAAAAAGACTATGCCAGGGAGCACAGAACTCATGTGAACAAAAGAAGCTACGCAAGACAGCAATTGTAAAGGGAATCAGGTAAGATTGAGTGGAAAGGCTATTAGGATCAAATATTTGCTGTGTAGATACATCCTTGATAACTTCTGGCCTTTTTGTCTTTGATAACTTCTGGCTTTGTTTTCACAAACAATAATAATATGCCAATACTCACTATATGTTATTAGTGGGAGACATGCAATGTTTCCTCTCATCCACATGATAAATTGTGTAAACTTTTGACTTTGAATGGAGATCCATTGGTAGACCTAGGCTTTTTCTGATGCACTGGCCAAGGGCAACAGAACAACCTCAGCAAGGGAAGGACAGGAAAAGACAAAGGAGGGCTTAGGTCTTGCTCAGTGAATCATTATTGCTTCCCCCCCCCCCCAAGCCACTATTAGCTTTGACAAAGCAGCTTTGCCCGAAGTAATTACTGCCAAAAGAGATTACTTGGCCTGTCTTAGCCACAACAGTCAGATCAGGCTTGGTTGCAGTATAAATCTAGCAATTCTGTGGACTAGTGGGGAAATAGCCTCCTTCCCAACAAAAAAAGTGAGATCCCCCTCCCACAAGTTTTCCATATTGTCACAGTGGTAGGAGGGATCTCTCACTTCATGCTGAGTGGTGGAGAGAATCTGCTCTAAAGTTCTCACGCAGAGGTCTCTGCAGAAAGAAGGTGATCACTTCACCCCCACATATTGGAGATACTCAGCGACAGAGAAGAAATAGCTGCTCCAAAGCCTGCTGAGAAGCCTTATGAGAGTGTCAGTCTGTACTGTGGGGAGGGATTGGGTCATTGGCAACCATGCATAATGGATGGCTACTAACACTGCAATCTTAAAAAGCATTGCAGATCTAAGTCGATTGAAGGCTTCCAAAGATGCAGCTCTGCTGAGTTGTGCACTTCAATGAGCCATTTGTTTAGGACTGCACTGTAATTCTTCCTATATATTGCTTCCCATCTGAACACTGGAACATTTACTGTTTTGTGTAGTTCTGATGGTGTAGCTAGGTATAGGTATTTAACCTATACAGACTTGAAAAGCCAGGAGGCATCTATTCACAGCAAGCATCCTGACATAACACCACTTGTTCATTTTGGGAGCTTCTGGCCTCCTGTCTCAAGCATCACCTAATAACGTTTAGACCAGAGGGATGAGGTGCCAGCATTTGCCAACAGCAGGTATGGATAACTCTCTTTCTCCTGGATTTTTGTTGACAATAGGCACTGTGAACATCCATGCACCATTTTAATTTTTGATCTTGTCTTTGGTGTGGTTCTAACAAGAAGGGGAATTGAGGGAAGACAGTTGCCAGCTTGAAACATCTAGGCTGAGTGGTTTTCCCTCTCTTGCTACCAGTATTTACAGCTAGGGGCACAAATGAGGATGCAATAAGTTTGACTTAGCACAAATTGTTACCACAGTCTTTTTCTTTGTGTTTCCACTTGTGCAAGAGGTCTACAACAGGAGGAAATTTAGTACTGGCACCAACCCAGTACGTTCTTGTGTACATGAAATTTTCTACTTGCATGGCCAAACAAATGTGTGAATCATCATCAGGAATATGGTAAGCAATGAAGTCAGTAATCACACACTTTGTTTTCCAGCTATCATTACTATATCCACAGCTGCATCCACACATCATTGGATACTGTATTATTGTTGCACTGTATCAACCATTTGCAACTGGTTTATCTGGTATGGACGAGTCAATCCAGTTGCGAATGACCACTGAAGTGCAACCATAGTGCAATATCCAGTGTTGTCTGGATGCAGCTGTCCCTGGTATTGCAACCAAAGGACCAGGATAAGACACCTTGCACAGACAGCGCACTGGTTGATGCCACCTGCAGTCCGTAATCACATTATAACTACCAGGCAGGATGCAAAAGTGCAAATATGCACCAGTGGATTGGTGCTGTTACCAAGGAACTTGGAACTCTCATAAAAGCATCAGCATGATGGACCCGGCTGCTTGCTGATACTGCAAAGCAATAATGTACTCACAATGGCAAGACAGGAAACAGCCACCTACACATTAGCTGCAGATATGAGGAACACACCAGGTGCTGCTACCAACATTTCTTCTGTAGGGGCAGAAGGCACTATTTAATGGCATCCCCTGACCTGTACAATACAGAATGGTAACTCGGAGCCTATAAAAAGGTAACAGACGCTGTTTCATAATCTCCATGCCCAGTATTAAGTTGTTTTAGGGGCCGTGGGATTGCCCCCACCGTTAAGTTGATAAACAATGCCTGCCTCCCAGCTGCACTGAAAAAAAAAATGACTAGCATATTGGCAGAGTGCTTTGAAGATTAAAAGTGCTATGCAAGTACAAAAATTACACTTTACAGCACATTAACTGCAAACTAATTAGCTGCACAGTTTTGGTTTTGTCACATGAGCTCCAAAGAGTTGTAAAAGAAATGAGAAAGATTCTCCATTCCAGATGGAGAAAAATAGTATGCACTCAAGAGCAAAAACATTTAAATACTTATCATTTTGAAAAAGTATAACATTCACACCTGAGAGGTATTGCTTACCACATGGCAACCTTAGAAGCAGCAGCAACATACAGTAGATTTGCTTCTGAATTGTGCTTTTCATTACCAATCAACCCCCACCCCACACACAATGTACCTGCAATAACATCCAGAAAATAGAAACCAGTATCTAAAACAGAAGTGAGCACACTTCAGCCCATTCATTTCATTGGACTTAAGCAAGCTTCATGCTGTGTCAGGCTGTGGCCAGAATGTGTCAGTAGTTTCTGCTCTGTAAACCACCCATTTTGCAGCAGAGCCCTGTCAGGTATGAAGTGCTGTCACAAGAGCTAGGGGCCCTTCGGTTATCTTCTGCGTCATTTGATCTCACAGATCAAAAACGGTCAATACAATACTACCCTGGAATTTAATAAATCAATTCTAGAACAATACATAAGTGCAAGTCAAAAGTTGTTGCAAGTTTCTCAGATGATGAATATTTCTTAAAGTGCAGTTCCCTTCAACTATAGTGGCAGAGGCTTTTTACTTATACAAAATTGACAATGAAGTGAGTGCAGCTGGATGATCTTGGCTGACTATACTGATATGATTTTTGAGCTCTTTATGCCTTTGGTGGATTTGTTATGCTGATGGGTATGTTGAAATCTGTTTGACTTTGAAGATTATGTATTGAAATGGGTGAGGAGCTGGCACCCCCATCGCTGAACTGGAATTTTGCAGTTCTTTACCCGTTGGACTGGATTGGAGTTTTCTGGTATTGGAGTTTATCTGGTACTGACTGGATTGGAGTTTCTCACTCATTGACCTGGATGGAGTTCCACACCAGTTGAGTTATAATAAGGTTCGGACTCTGGAAAAAGCTCTACACTGTTTAAAGGTCTTGTATTTTAGAATGATAAGGCATTGATAAAGTCTGACAAAGGCTTCCATTCATTTATGGTAAGTGAATGTGGATAATGTCCAAAAAGTTTGGTTCTTAAAAATTTCCTATATCGGTTGAATTTTATCCGCATTAAATGATAATTTTTGTGTAGTGGTAGCTTAATTGTTAGAGCTCAGGATTTTAAGCACAATTCTTGTTATTATATCAGTGACTTATGGATCCACATACTTGGTACACTTGTTCACAGTTTAGGTGTGGTTTCACCACAGTTTTTCTTTTCTAGCATGATATTACATCATCTTCAAGTGGATTCACACATGATGAATTGCTCTTGAGGGTGGGTTCAACATGGATCCAAACCACAAACAAACAGATTCAGCAAACAGTGGGGTGAAACCAGGTACACCAACTCATTGTCTCAGTTTGTATCCCACCATTCATATCTGATGCACTATTATTAGATGTAAGGTCATCCTGTATGGACGTCAGCAGATTAAAGCTTCAGAGGGTAGCCATGTTGGTCTAAGTAGAAAAGCTAGAATGCAGTCCAGTAGCGCCTTAGAGACCAACAAGTTCTTAAAGTAACAAGGTTTGAGTCCAGTGGCACCTTTTAGACCAACAAAGTTCTATTCTAGGTATCAGCTTTCATGCACATGCACACTTCTTCAGATACGAAGGCATGGAAAGGAGCTTTGACTCTCAAAAGCTTATATCCTGAAAAATTTATTGTTCTCTAATACACTATTGGACTCCATTCTAGCTGTTCAGCAGATTACAGTTATTGTGAAAATCCACCTTCATTTTAGAACTGAAACCCTTTCAAATGAATATATGTTTTAAAATTCTTTAAAACAATTAAAAACTTGTTACAAATCCCCCCTTTTTAAAAAAATCCTCAATGCTAATTAATTTGCATTGGCAATATCAAGGATTCATTAACCTAACTTTGTACATGAAGACATGGCCCCCTGAGCCCAGAACACTAGCCATTTTATGTAACAAACTCAAGACGTTTCTCTCCCAATTTCTTGTAGATTTGTCCTTTTCTCTCTGCTGAAACACCTTATTTTTTCATCACTAAGCATGCCAGTATTTGCAACATTAACAGCTTGTTCCTATGTATTGCCATACCAAAGTAGGAAGGACTTCACGTTCTCTCTGATAATGGCCTGCTGCCTTTTTGACAGCAAAACCAGGCCCTATGTGACTCCGCCTTCTGCCCCTTTGCACAGCATCCTATGGGTCACCTAGTACAGCAGCAACTCTTTGGTTCATGAAGAGCTCCAGCAATGGAGGCATCAGATCCCAGTTCGGCTGTGACAACACAACTGACCCACTGGGGCTCAAGCAGGTAAGAGGTAACAGGTAAGGCTAGCCATTGAGCAAATTCTCCTCTCAGCTGTCGGCCTCCTCCCCAGCAGGCTCTTCTTCATGTACAAGTGGCACATACTCCTGTTGATGCCCAGTGGCACACACAAGCCAGCTAGGAGAAAAGAGACATGAGAGGTTTTAGAGGAGATGACACACCGTACTTTCACTAAGTCACCACCAACTATATAAACCAGAAGGTTTCTGTGCACAGGGGGAAGTTATGGAGATGAGCATGGGATCTGCTATATCACTTGCTCCTCCCTGCCATGTGGAGCTCAGAAATTATCTGCTATGAAAGCCGAAACTGATTATGGTTTGATCTCTGCCTTTCAAATAAGGTACTAAAATGTGTGGAAGCCAGTTTAGAGGGCGGAGAGCAACGACCGTTTGTAGCTCAGATGCCAACAATAAATTCTGAGTTGCTAAAAGCAGAAATGGTTCATGAGTAGGGGAGGGGTAGAGGCTATGAGTCAGAGGATCCCCCTGGCTCATTCAACCTATTTTAATAAAGTGGTGACATTGTCTTCTCTTTGAAATGTGGACAGTTTAATTACACTGATCATAGAAACACAGCATTCATTATACCAGCTGCAGATTAAGGGCAATGATAGATGTGACATTCCAATAGCAGACAGTCAGTCTGAAAGGGTGTTAATACCACCCCAAACATCCTTATACTTACCCAGTTTAAAGCCAAACTATGGGTCAGATACTACAGGTTCATTATGGTTATAGCACTTTTAAAGAAGCCCTGGTATCTCCAAAATATGTCAAGAGCATCGCTGACCAATTCCTGCCTCAATCCGTATTTCAAAAATGCTTTGGGGAGGGGATTCATGGTCAATACTCACCTCATAGTGCCTAAAGGAATTATACAGAGACCAGCTGATAAGAGGAAACTGAAGCCTGGAAACCAAGCTACAGTCACTGCATAGATGCTATTAAAAGCAGCGAGCGAGATGGTACCGATCACAACCTCTAAACACGCAATGCAAGCAAAGAGAGCACCTGTCAAAAACACAACACAGAAAGTTTCAAGAGAATCTCCAAATGTTCTGCAGCAATACTAGGGCAAAATCTCTACAATGATAATCTACATTGATTTGTTTAAAACATGTAAACCTCATCTTTCCACCAAAACCCCCACAACACCATAGGATCTAAGGTGTCTTACAAAATTTGTTTTTAAAGTTGCATTCAAAAAGACAAACACTGATGAGCAACAACATAGATTTTCCTAAAAGGGGCAAGTCAGTGTCTCCAAAAGATTGGTACAAAGAAAATAAAAATCATTTCACAAGTATCCCTGGTGTTTAGCACACTGAACTAACAGCTAGTATTCCCAATCTCCAGGTGGTGGCTGGAGATTTTTCACTATTACAACTGATCTTCAGGTGAGAGATCAGTTCACCTGGAGAAAATGGCCGCTCTGGAAGGTACACTCTATGGCATTATAGCCTCCCCTCCTCAAACCCCACCCTCCTCAGGCTCCACCCCCAAATCTCCAGGTATTTCCCAGTCTGTAGCTGGCAACCCAATCTATGGCATTTAGGGTTGCCAGATCCCCCCTGGCCACCAGTGGAGGATGGGGGTAGGGTTGTCAGATCCAGGTTGGGAAACTGGCATAAATAGTGGCATAGACATAAATAGTCCCATAGACATTCAAGGGCACTTTTTAGTGTCACATCTGAAAAAAAAAATGAAGAATGTGTAACTTGAAAGCCTGCTCTATATATTTAGCTTTAGGATATAGTCTGAGTTGTACAATATTTTCTATTCATTACGTGTCACCCTAAAATAAATCAGTGGCTATTAGCCACAAGGTCTAGATAGGGGCTCTGGGGCAAGTGATGCTCTGTCATCTTGGTGCTTGGGGGGGGCAACAGTGGGAGGGCTTCTAATGTCCTGGCCCCACTGGTGGACCTCCTGATGGCACTGGTATTTCTGGCCACTGTGTGACACAGAGTGTTGGACTGGATGGGCCTTTGGCCTGATCCAACATTGGCGTCTCTCATGTTCTTAACTGCTAGAAGTTTCAAGTGGAAGAAGGAGGAGGAGGAGTTGGATTTGGTGTAGTGGTTAAGTTCACAGACTCTAATCTAGGAGAACCGGGTTTGATTCCCCACTCCTCCACATGCAGCTGCTGGATGACCTTGGGCAAGCCATAGTTGTCAGAGCTGTTCTCTCAAGGACAGTTCTCTCAGAGCTCTCTCAGTCCCACCTACCTCACAGTGCATCTGTTGTGGGGAGGGGAGGGGAAGGGAGTTTGTAAGCTGCTCTGAGACTCCAAGTGAAGGACGGGGTATAAATCCAGTCTCCTCTTCTCTTCTTCTAAAGGGGGCTGGGCTAGTCTGTTTGATGATGTCTCTGTGAATGAGACGGGACCTGAAGTGTGAAATGAGACAAGGGTGGCGAATGTGATATCCTGACCTTCTTGTTTCCCAGAACCTGAGAGAGAAAGGTTGCTAAGGGTGGTAGGCACTCTATGTGAGTGGAGAAGGGATCATCACAAGGCCTAACTATAGTCTGAATAAAATGACAAACCTTGGCTTGTGATCTGCTGGAAAACCAGAATGAGAAAACATGGTCCGAAGTGGGTTCCAAACCATGGCTGATGCTCAGTTTGGTTTTGGTGTGATATCTGAACTGACAAGTTATAGGTAATGCTGTTGCTTCACCTCTGGAAGCCACTGAGAGGTGGGGCAACTGAACAGACAGAAAATGAAAGCAAGACAAGCAGCTCTTAACCAGGGCTTGGAGCCTCAAACCATGGTTTGAGTTCTAAACCAGTTAGTACAAAGCTTAGTTTTCACGTACATTGAGTCTGTATGTTACTGGTAGGTAAATAAAATTGAAGTAATTCACCTAATATTTCCCAGGATTTTAAAATTTTATCCCAGAACAATCATGACTGCTTCTTCAATAACTCACCTTGTTCACTAGGAAGAACCACCTTTGAGAGCATGGATCGAAACACTGGAAGAGGCATAAAAGCCAGCAGAGATGGCACACGCACTGCAAAAGTCACGATCAGTCATGAGACAGTAATATTAAACAAGCCAAGAAGCAAAACAGTCATCATAAGACACATATCATTTGTTTCAAGGGCCCCAGGGAACGGCAGCCAAGATATCTAGATACATAATAATCTAGTATCACAGTGGTGAAACATTCAGCAACAACTGTAACTGTGTGTTTTATTAGGACCAACCAAAAACATTGCAACACAGTGAGCAAGTTTTGTCCTTCCGTAGAACTTTTCATCAGGCTGGATGTTCAGTGGATAAAACTGGAATAAATAAAAAAAAGTGGGAGAGAAAATATGTTTTCGGACATGATGGAGAAGCCCTTAGCCTGACATCTATTGAGTCTTAAAATGTAGGGGGTGTTACGGACTTACTGGATTAGGTAGTGTTTGTTGCAAAAGAGGTTCTTGTAGCCTTTATTGTATCTTGGAATCTGTATGCACCCAACGACCAACTAATCTAATTTAGTCTCTTAATTCAGACTCTACAAACTGCCGACTACTGAATACCCAGCCTGATTAATCCTTCTTCAGAAGCCTTGCTCACTGTTTTGTGCTTATTTAGGCTGGTCCTAATAAAAGGAGTTACACAATGGTTAGCTCTGGTTCTGGGCCACCAAGGGATTCAATATAGAGAGCTAAATGCATTGTATTTGTACATAGTCAGGAACTTTGGATAATGGAATGAACCACATATTAAATTTTATATGCTCTCTTCCAGATGGAGATGTGATGGAGCATTACTGCATCTATACATTTCTCCTTTGGTGGGTATACATTCCTCTCCTCTTATACACTAAGGCACTTTTTACACACAACAGCATTAAAAGAAGGAAATTATGTGCTGTTAACTCCACTCAGTATTTTGTACTTACATTTTAAATATGGTACAGTTTTCAATCTGGATTTTATAAAATTTCCTTCTGCTCTTTAGTAAAAAGCACTGATACGGGTGTAACTAGGGTGAGCCAATAAGGTCATCCAAGTTAGGTATGTTTCAGATAAGATTGAAAAATGGGCAGCAATAATATAATAAAAGGAAAATTATTTTAATGTATGGAATGGTCTCTTACTCAGAGAGGGTAGCAGGCTGGGCAGAAAATTGCCATTGCAGCTTTACATTTTGCCCTCTGCATGTAGCTTAATTTTAAGTTTAAATATGGAGCACTGTTGAAGAAGGAACACAAGAAAGAAAAAATGTGAGACTGGACACAGCAGCAGCTGGCAGTATACTTTATGCTTTGTTATGTTTCTGTTTTGCAGAGCTACTTCCAAGTGAGAGCAAGTGATTCCTTGTAATTTCAGCCCCAATTTCATTGAAGGTCTACAGCAAATGTTACGAGAGCAAGTGATTCCTTGGAATTTCAGCCCCAATTTCATTGAGGTAAAGGTAAAGGTTTCCCTTGCTTGAAAGCCAGTCGAATCCGACTCTAGGGTTGCGGTGCTCATCTCCGTTTCCAAGCCGAAGAGCCAGCGCTGTCCAAAGACGTTTCCGTGGTCATGTGGCCGGCATGACTAAACACCAAGGCGCACGGAACGCTGTTATGCTTTGTTATGTTTCTGTTTTGCAGAGCTACTTCCAAGTGAGAGCAAGTGATTCCTTGTAATTTCAGCCCCAATTTCATTGAAGGTCTACAGCAAATGTTAATTTGCCCTGATGCTGGTTCCTCCTTGGATACAGGAGGCAGGGACAGAAAACAGGAAGTAGCACTGAATTGGAGGCCTGTCCCAGGCATGGCAATCACAAGCACAGCAGTTTTATATTCATCCATAACTGCAGCTCTCTTCACCCTAATTTCTGCATTTCACTGGCCTGGTTCTCAACTCACCTAGGAGCATGAGCAATGTAGTGTTGGCAAAGGCAGCCATGATAATTCCGCCAAGGTATGAGAAAATCCCAATGAAAACCAGGTAGATGTCTTTCAGCCTTCGAGAAAGTACAACTATTCCTAGAAAACTGGTCAAAGAGATTGCAGTGGATGCTGCAGATCCGTATCCTATGTAGATTTCATTCCAGCAGAGCGGGTCATTCAGTTCATAAAGGGTAAACTGAGACATCCCACCAAACACCGTGAACAAATAAGCCATAAATGTACACAACAGCAAGATGATCAAAGTTTGCTTCCTAAAAGAAGAGGATTTAAAAAGTGCGTGCACTCCAGAAAAGGTTTTTTTAAGGCCTTCCATCAGAGATTGTTGCTGGACTTCAGATACATGTACCGTATCATCCAAAAAACATGTCACATAAAAAATGTTAACCATGTCAATCAGTGAAACAGTCACAAATGTCCATGTAAAGCCTATTCCTTTCAAAATGAATCCTGAAGACAGTCCTCCCAATCCAGAGACCAATCCATAGATTAAGTCGACCACTGCTATCCGGATTGTTTTCTGTTTGTGATTCTCACAGAGATCAACTATGAAAGAAAAGGAGCCCCCGAGGAAGGTCGCCATACCCCCAAAGAGCCCACTTATAAAGGCCAACGCGTACAGAAAAGGGAGGGGGAGAGAGTAATAGGACATGGCACTGAGGAAGATGCCGCTTACAAGACTCCCCACCAGAGGAAGAACTAGTGAGATTTTGCGTCCATAGCGATCCCCATTGGCTACAAGAACAAAGGCTACCAAAATGTTGAGAACAGCATTACTTAAATCCATTTTCATGGCAAAGAGGGAGGCTTTTTCTTGGACTTCCTGAAAGAGGAAAAAATAAACAGAATTAAGATCAAGTATGGAGGGGGGAACATTAAAAATAGTTCTGTATTTGCTTTCTCTCTCACTTGAACATTTGCAGTCCCCCACTCCCAAATTATGATTTAGAAAATTGTTATCCTGTGTTTATGAAAAAGGTGCTCAAGATCATGACAAATAATAGTAATACAAAATATTTTTAAGCCATGCAGAAGAAATCTAGCAAAAAAATTAAATGCAACAACCCATGAATAAACAATATTCAAAATATTGTAGACTACATGTGATTTAAAGCTAAGGAAACATGATGGACATCACTTGGCATCTAAAAGATGTTAACTTAGGTGGCCAGGGGGATGAAGTCCTGTAACTGAAACCCCCCCCCCCAAAAAAAACCACAAACTTTCTTTGCTGCTATGATAGCCCTGTCCACCTACCTCCTTCAGAGGCCAGATTTTCCCTCTGTTTTTCTCTCCCTTTCAGACTGAGCAGTCCTAGTGGTCTGTTTTCTTCTTTCCTGAAGAACTTTGGTTGTCCCACCCTGTCTCAGATTGATAGTTTACTGCTGGCTCAAACCCAGGAACTTGAGGGAAGGGTCAAGATTGCCCTTTAACTTAAACCACTGAAAATGGCACTTGAGACATTTTGAAATTCAAAATTAACAAAATATATTATTCAACATAAAGGGGAAAGGTCAGGTGATATCAGGGTTGAAATTTCTGAGGTAACTCAATATAGATAACTCTGAGGTAAAACCAGTATATGTACAGACATTAACTCTCACGTTTCAGGCTAATGAGAGCTTCTTAAGCTATTCACAGTTACTTAAATAATGTGGGTTCAGCAAACTATTTAACATATCTTGAAGTAAAAGGGTTTAGAAAAGCCTTCACTCTGGCGAGATGCTCTGCCATCCCTTATGCTGTACTTGAAGGAAAATACAAGAATATTCCTTTCATAGAAAAGCTTTGTACTTGTCCATTAAGGGAGGCTGAGACTACAGAGCACATGTTTTTTAGATGCCCGTTTCTTTGGCCCAAATGAGAATCTTCGCCTAACTTCCCAAACTTTTTTGCTAACTTTCCCTCAGTTCTCCATCTGTGTTAAACTGCTCTCAGCTAAGGCTGGAATCAGACTCAGCTCAGTCAAGGGAGAAATCTGACTGACTCTCTCCTCAGCATGCAGCTGTCAAGTCTTTCTCTGCTCAGCTGATTCTAACCAATCAGATTGCTTGGAGCAGCCTGTCACTCAAGGCCCTCTGTTTCTGCAAATAATTAACCCTTCACAGTCCTTCAACTGTTTGTACAGCACTTTTAAGCTTTTAAAAAGTGCATGCAGTCCGTCACAGCTGCTCTTTAACTTCACAAGGGAATTCAAAGAAGGGCCTCAGATAGAGAACTTCCTGGCCAACAGCACATACAAAGGTTAGATCACTGGTCTTTCTAATCTCTACTCTGAATGACATATGTTTCTCCAGGATCTTGGGGTATATGCTGCTGAATTTATGATTATAATACTGACAAGAAACTATTTTTGAGGAATTAATCTAAGGTTTTGCTAATCTTCCAAAGCAGCCATTTTCTCCAGGTGAACTGATCTGACATAAATGAACGGAATTGACATGTGCATCATAGCCAATGTGAGCAGTGCTACAGCCACAGTGCATAATTTGCCTCGTCTTCTAACCACATAAGTATATCTTATCCACATTTTTCCATATTTTCTTTATAGTATTTTCTCAGAGTGGACATGATCCAGCCAAAGATAAGCATTTTCAATTGAACTTATGGGAACTTCGATGGGATACTTGAATCTCTTGCCACAATACCTTGTAATGCAATCAAATGCAGTTACTCCAGACTAAGGCTGCTGAAATCAACGGGCTTAGACCAGAGTAACTCCCAGTGCAATCCTAAACAGAATTATCCCTTCCAACGTCATTGGCCGTAGAAGGCTACACCTCTGCTTAAGACTGCACAGTTACATTCTTAATTTTGCTTAGATTGCTCCTGATTTGCAATATCATCTTACCTGTTCCTTCAAGTAAGTTGGATCACTTTGGTTTAGTTCACAGTGAGAAACATTGTCGTCAACTCTGAAGCTGGAGTTGACAGTCTCTTCCCAGATCCTCCGATACACATACTGCTGTGCTGGGGGCAGGTACAAGGAATAGGCAAACATGTACAGGCAAATGACAGGCTCCACTATCAGAGTTTTCTTCATGACTTGAATTTTAGTTTTAATTCTGTTGGTGAAAGAAAACGCAAATCAGAAGAAATTATATATACCTGCATTTCCATAATAGACTACTGACCAAGCAATGCAAAACATGGCAGCTTGGAACTGCTGCACTCTGAATTGCTTTGGATGTTCAGTAGAAGGGAGATGTTGCCAGACATTCCTCAGAGAATGATGGAAGAGCTGATATTGTTTTGGAGTGCTCAGGCATACATCTCTAACATTCACTTTTGAAATGAATTTATCACATAAACCTGCCCATGGACCTGCTTTTCAGGATTAGCTTCTGATTTTTTGCTATCTTCCCAAGTACAAAAGGCATATAAAATTCTTTTAAAGAGAGATCACAAGTAAAGTCACAATACAAGAAGCAACAGACTTGCAGCTAATCGCTTAGTTGATACTGATCCAAATGTGATGTTGGCAGTGGCAAAGTTTTTATCTGTAACCCTGGGTGGTATTAAATGAATTGACTTTTGTAGGCAGTTAATATATATTTGGTAACCAAATTGCTTAATTTTGTGAAATTGTAACTGTAATTGTAATGTACTGTATGTATATATGTTGTATTATACCCTGTCTATTTGCTTATGACTTATGGGTCTATGAGCAATAAAAAAATGAATGGAAAGAAGCAACAGATGCAACACAGAGATTTAGATAGCGCAGACTCTCTTTGAGTTTTCATGATTATACATTGCATGTCTCCAAAATATGCCTATTCCCATTTTCTCTTTAACAGAATACTTCCATAGGCTCTTTTCCAGGATTATGTTGGGTTGAGGGGGAAGGGATCCTTGCTACAATTTTATTTATTTATTGTATTTCTATCCCGCCTTCCCCTGCAAGTGGGCTCAAGGCGGTTTAAAACAGAATAAAACAATTAAAACTTCACAGTGTAATTATGATTAAAACCAATAATTCCCACTAACATATGATTAAAACCAATAATCCCCACTAACATAATCCACAAAATGGCAATTACAGTTTGACAGGAACTTCTACACGAATCCTGCCCATGTGTGCCCAAAATGGACCAGAATGCCAGGCAAGTATGTATAACCATCATCAATAGCATACCTGAATTAGTGGAAGCCCCAAAAACTAAGTGGGGCCTCCCCATTCCCACTTTTGAGAGAGGGAGACAGGAAACATTGTAGCAGGAATAGCTTTGTTAATTTGCAAAACAAAAGCACAGCTTTCAAAGAATAAGAAAACATTAAGACAATCGCAGACCATGGGCTGTGCCACCATCCTTTAACCATCCTGTCTGGAGAAAAGTTCTAGAAAACTTGAAAGCTTGAACAGTCTTACAATATTTTGGTTGTCAGCCTCCGAAGGGGCATGGAGATCTCCTGGAATTACAACCGATCTCTGACAGATCAGTTTATCTAGAGAAAATGGCTGCTTTGGAGGGTGGACTCTATGGCATTACACCCTGCTGAAGTCCTTCCCCAGGCTCCACCCCCAAAACTCAAGAATATTCACAACCTGGAGCATACTGGTGACACCCAAGCCCATAATCCCACCCTCTCTCCTAGTGCCACCCTCTGTCCCCAGCCTTGGAGAAAGAAGACAAACCACTGCAAAGCTGTCCACTGAATCCCCAAATCGATCAGCGAAGACCAGGAACCAACTTCAGCCTCCTGCACAGGCCATTCAGCTCTCAGCACAGTAGAGCTTCTGAATAACTCTCAAACATCTAGTCCGAGACCATCAGTCAACCGATGAAACAACCCAGGGCTACTGTCCCCACCCACCCACAACAGTTAGAGGACAAGCCCCAGCAATACTGGATTTTAGGGGACATCTTACCCACAGAGGCATCACCTTCTGTAACCAGAGCTGGCAAAGAGAGAACTTTCTCAATTTCCCAAAATACTAGATTTCAAGGGCATCAAATGAAACTGATGGGCAGCAGATTCAGCACAGACAAAAAGAAAGACTTGTTTACAGAGTGATTAAAATGTGGAAGTCACTGCCAGAGGATGTAGTGTTGGCTATAAAAACAGCTTTAAAAGGGATTAGACAGATTCATGGAGAATAGGTCTATCAGTGGACATAAACCATGGTGACTGAGGGGGAACCTCCATGTTCAGAGGCACTAAACCTCTGAATCCTAGAACCAGGAAGCAACAGCAGGGAAAGGTCTTGGCCTCCATCCCCTGTTGTTGGACCTCCGGTGGAACTGGTTGGCTACTGTATAAGACAGGATGCTGGACTAAATGGACCACTGGTATGACCCAGCAAGGCTCTTCTTATACAGATCAGGGGAATTCTGTCTTGCAGCGGCGTCCCCCTCCCCCCAAGACAGGAATTCTATAAGTACTTAAGACGGAAAAGTCTCTCCCAGTTTCAGGCCGCAAAAAGCTGATTCACCACATCTGATTTCTTCCAGAGGAAGAGCCAGCTTCACAAAACAATTAGAAGAGTTGCACAACCAAGTCGGTTAAAGATTAAACTCTCATAGCTACAGACGTTTAAAAAAAAAAACAAAAAGGTATCCAACGCCTTTTTGTTAGGGTCAACCAAGGTACTATAAAAAATGAGTGGAACTTCAAGGTCCCCAGAACTCTTCAAGGGAGAGGAAAGGGGATCTGAGGTCGCTAGCCTGAAATGTGTAGAGAAGACAAGGTGTGTGTTGGAGACATAATTGGACTGAGACAGTGAAGGTGCAAAACAGGTTTTGAGGTGTGCCAAAAACTACTGGGGAGAAATGCCCCCCCCTCTGAACATTTAAAATCAGCTGCCTCTGCAGCGGCAGAGCGCCCAAATTCCCCCGTAGTGGTGGTGGAGGGGGGGAGCGTGAGAAAAAGTCCTGAGAACTCAAAACACCTGCTCACCGTTTGGGGGTATTATATCACTATTACTTTCGGCATGACTCCTCATCATCCCACACCCACCTCCCCGCCCCCCAGGTCCCAGATTAATCGAGCGACCTGGAAAATCTCGGCCCGCTCAACCCTGAGAAGGAGGGAAGGGGGGCAACGCCAGAGACGCCCTCTTCTTCCTCTCAACTGCACGAGATGGAGCAAAATGCACGCAGCAGGGCGGCGCTGGAGCCCAGAGACGCCTGCTGCTTCCTTCCGCGCGGCGTTTCCCCTAGACGCAGGGGCCAGCCTACGTCCTCCCGGCGAAGGGACCTGTGCGTGCCGTCCGGCAAGTGCCCCTCTGCGGCCGCCAGCAGCAACTTCTAGCTAGCAGGGCCCCCTCCCCCCGGCTTACCTTCTCACACGCAGCCCCTCTAGTCGCTCTCCATTTCCTCCACTCTCCAGGGACGCCGTTTGATAACCGCCCGGTGAGAGGAAGGGGGGAAGCTTCTAGCTGTTCTCCGGCTAAACGCCGACATTCGCCTAATTCATGCAGGTTATTGGACTCCCTCTGTAGCAGAGACACTAGGGGTTGCTCGACTGAAATGTCACTCAGACACCTGAGCCCGCCTCCTCGGCCGAGCGGCGGCGTTTTGCGTTGTGCTGTTTTGCTGCTCCCCGAGACGACAGCTGGCGCGCACCCGTGTGACCCGACGCGCATCCAATCCTGCCGCGCGGAACGCGGAAGCGGCCCTGTAGGCGATGCTGCAGAGCTTGTGCGGCAGAAAAGTCTTCTGCTGGGAATTCCGAGTTCGGATTTGCTTTTCGGGGTCCTTGTTCGGAGTGGGTATGTGCGTTAGTATGTACTTTCCCCATTCAGGAGTCCGTCGGTGGCTTTCGTGTCTAACGGAAGCTCCCCAGTAATCGCCAAGGAGCAACCCTACCTCCAGATGAGACCTGGAGATCTCCCGGAATTACAATTGATATCCCGACGACAGGAGAAAATGACTGCTTTATGTGGTGCATTCCATGGCAGTATATCTCGCGAAAGTCCCAACTCTCTCCAAACTAGGCCCTCCCAGGCTCCTCCACTCCCAGAAATCTCCAGGAAATTCCCAACCTGGAGTTGGCAACCCTACAGGAGGGGGTCAGTATAGTAGCAGAACACTTACTGAGAAAGGGCTGCAGCAAACTTGCCAGTAGTGCAAGGTAAACTGCCAGAGTTGCCAAAAGGCCTGAAGAAAAAGGGCCTGACCCAATTTGATGTATGGAAGTGGGCAGCTAAAGCTTTTCATGGCATGGAGATAAATAACATCACCTGATAAATAACGCCCCATTAAGCCTCTATGAAAACGATGGGACTTCTTTCTCCAGGTAGTTGACAACCCTATATGGCATTCCTTGCCCCTGCAATATTGGTGGCTGTCATTTCCTCAGTTACAGTTTAGGGGTCAAACACATCTCACATGCCACCAAAACAAGGGCTGCTTCATACTCGGCTTTTAAGCCAACAGAGAATCTCTTTTCTCTGTAATGTGTGAGTTGCTTGGACCTCAACTCAGGTATTTGTTCAGCTCAGGCATGATGGTCTTAGGCCAGCCAGTCTCTCTCTATACTTCACAGGGATGCCATGAAAATAACATGAGATAACCTTATGAATGCAGTCCTGAACTCTTTGGAGGGAAGGTAGTACAAATGTAATGAATAAAGTTGGAGGATGAGAGACCTTGAGATGGATTGTATGGATTGAGATGGAAGTGTTGTTTCCAGTACACTCAGCAGAAAGTCAGCTCTCTTTTCTCCTCCTGTAGAAGATGGAGCAGATCTATTCTCTCTTGCTCCGGATTGCAAGACTGGATCTAATGGGTGGAAATTACAAGGGAGTCGTTACCAGCTAAATATCAGGAGAAACTTCCTAACTGTAAGAGTGGTTGAGCAGTGGAACAGTCTGCCTCGGGAGGTGGTGGATGCTCCTTCGCTGGACATTTTCAAGCGGAGGCTGGGCGACCATCTTTTGGGTATGATGTAGATATGTAGGGCTATCTTTCAGCTATCCTCCTGCAGAGTGCAGGGGTTTGGACTAGATGACCTGCAAGGTCCCTTCCAACTCTAACATTCTATGATTCTATGATTCCTCCTCTTGGGCCAAATTCACATGCCAATTAAAGCACTTTTCTGTCCCTCTCCTGCT